TTTTTTTTTTTTGATTTTATAGTAAAAACTATATTTTAATTAAATTTTAATAGCATTTGTGAAAAAAAATTGTTTCAACAGCTATGTTAAACTCTTGCTTAAAATAGAGAAAAAAATCTTTAAACTTAAAAGAAGCAGAAATAAAATATTGCATACATATTGGAGATACTCTAATAATTCAACATAACTTTTGTTTTAATTTAAGGTTAAAAATGTGATTGTATCTATATGTTGATGAGCTTATATTTAGAGGGATTAAATGTAAGAAATAATAACTTACTTTCATTAATTTTTTTATTATAGCATTGTATTTCTAGTTTTTTTATTACATCAACGTACTTTCAAAAAAAATTATTATTATAGGATCGGATTTGAAAAATCTATCCATTATAGCAATAAGTAAATTGTTACTTTTTAAAACGGTTAACCCTTTGAATGTTTTTGCTTGCTTGGTTTCAATGAGGTGATGTGGATGACACATCATTTTTTATGACGTTGCTAAAATAAAAATAAAAACATATTTCAAATTATTTTTAATGATTTTCATTTTTACTCTCTACGTTTTAAAAAAAACATATTTAATTTTTTTAATTTTTTTATTAAATTGAATGCAAATTAAATGTTTTAGAGTAAAATATTTCTTAAATAAATATGAAATATTATTTTCGAGATAATCATTTTATTTGTAGAAAAAATTCCACTTCTTATTTTATTTTGTTCAAAAAAATACAAAAAAGTTTTTTTTAAGATGTTAGCGAGATAAATTGTGATTTACAATTTTTTTTAATATTGTTATATTAATGAATAATTAAAAAAATCTAATTAATATAATATATTTTTAATGTCAAGTAATTTTTTTAAAACAAGTATTTTTTAAAAGAAAACATTTTTGGATAAAAAAAAACATAACAATTCTTATTTTCTTTTTTCAAAAACACATTTAAAAAAAATATTAGCGAGATAAATTGTGTTATACTAGTCTTCTTAGTATTAATATTAATGAATAGTTTAGAAATTTTCTATTTCATTTAATATATTTATAAAAAAATATGTAAAATAAAAAAAATTCAAAGTATAATGTTGTAATAATAAATGTCATGTCAGCAAAATTTTACACGTGGACATCTCATATGGAAAATGACATGACATAGTAACCTGTTAATCATGCCATCTCATCTTAATTCAAATCAAAAAGTTATTCATTGCTATAATCTCGATTTTAGGAGACTAAATTTTTAATTGAAATCTAGGATTAGAAACGAATACTAGATCTCGGTAAACATGTTTGATTAAATGTACAATGTTTAACAATAAAATATTAAAACTAAAAGTACAATGTTGTAATAGGAGTTGATGATGCTATAATAAAATAGTTTTGAAAATACAATACTATAATAAAAAAATGTCATGTCAACAGTAAGTACATATAGACAACCTACATGAGGACAGTGAGGTGGTATGAAAACATGATATAATGAGTAAATTTAAATAAAAAATTTATTTAATATTATAATAGGTAAATTTCAAATTACAATATCAAAATACAAAATAATTTAAAATACAAAAAAAAAACTAAAATTAAAATAATAAAATAATTTTTTTTATTAAATTAGATTGTTACTTTATATATTTTACCTTTTTCTTTTATAAAAACTTTGCTCAAATGTCAAAGTTTGTTGCACATGAGTTTGTTTTTGGTCTTTTTACACTTTTTTTCCTCATCTTTTATTTAAAAAAAACTATATGAATGGAAGTTATGATGAGAAAAGATCTCTATCTTTGAATCAATCTTAATCGAAAATCAACATTAATGAGATGCACCAAGATGTACAGATCAATTCTCGTAAGAAACGCAATTCATGGGGTAGGGTGAGATTAAAAGTGATCAAGGATCCAGATTCCTTCTTATGCTTCTCGGCTTAACTCCAATTTTTACACGATCATTTATCCTAGTGTGTGTGTCTATAGAGAGAGAAAGAGAGGGGTTCACAAAACTAAGGAAACACCTTAATAATCATTCATCTATACAGTATATACATATGCATACAAGTAATTGAAGATATTTCCTGATTTATATATACATATCGGATAAATTACTTGTACAGAAGAATGGTTCATCAGTTTTTTCCTTTTATCTTTCTCTTAAATTTGACACACACACACATATATATCTATACTATATTATAAAGCATTTGGCTAAAATTCTTAAAAACTCTTAAAACTCTTAAAAACTCTTAAATCCCTAAACGATTTCATCTCTATCCGATTTCATCCCATATCTGAATTCGTGTAACTAACTGCAGATAAACACAATCAAATACAAGATAAACATCCCATTTTAAATATAAANATATTAATAAATACTTTAGAAATTTTCTAATTCATTTAATATATTTATTAAATAATATGTAAAATGTCTAAAACAATAAAATATTAAAACTAAAACTAGAATATTATAATAAAAGCTGGTAGATGCTGTTATTAAATAGTTTTGAAAATACAATACTGTTAATAAGAAATGCCACATCAACTATAATACATATAGATTGTCTACATGATCAGTGAGTTGATATAAAAACTTGGTATAATAAATAAATTTAAAACTATAATAGGTAAATTTTTCACAATGGATTGATAAAAAATAATTTAAAAATACATTAATATAATAATAAAAATATATATGAAAATAAATTGTTATTTTGTTCAACTTACCCATTTCTATTTAAAATTTAGAATTTTTATTTGACAAACAGGTTATATAAGTTGAGCAAAAGAATGACACGTGTTATATACCCAATATTTATTGTTATATCTTTGTATTTGGTTTCATTTAGAGTAAAAATACAATATGAAAACTATATCATACAAGAATAGATTAAGAAGATCTAAAAGCAAAAGAATGACACTTAAGGACCGTTACCAACAACAAACAAATCATCATTTATGTAACATTCTTGGCTATCAAAATGGATTAATGATACGTGTCTTGTTCGACATAAGTGCTTACCAAATAAGATTTCTCATGCTCACACCAATAAGGCAAGTGTTTGATAAACGACCCCTATACGACAATCTCCAAGTTCCAAGTAAATGAGATGAAAGCATAAGAATTTTCTGGTTATAAATTCAAACCTACACTACAACTAATCTATCAAAAATCTAAGTGTATATAGTAACATTACAAACACATCATCATGAATCACCAGCATTAGGGTAGAAAAAATACACCCCCTCCCTCTCACTCGCTCACTCACTCAGTCACTCACTCACACTCATAATAAGTTGATCATAAATTAGAAGAAATCCAACATCCATTCTTTTCATTATATATAATATCTAATCAATCCTCTACACCAACCCTTATTCCCATTACTATTAATTTTTATATTTCTTTTTCTTTTTCTTTTTCCCTCCAAATTACGAGTTCGARTTCGAGTTCATCATCTACGGGAAAAGAAAAGGAAATCTGGGTGATTGACCTGCAGTTTTGCCAGCCAATCATCAGCTGCCTGCAAAAGAGAAGTCAGCAGCACCAAGCGTTGGTTGCTTATCCACAATGGTGCTTTCAACTTATATGAAGCAAGACCAAACACTGGTAACGACACTGCTTTCTCACTTTCATTCCCATTCCCATTCCCTCCTGCAAATCAATATACAATCAGTCACTATATTTCAATCATAAATAGTTAGTTATATATGTAACCACTAATTATAAACTACCAACTAACCTGTTAATGGTGTGTGAAGAGAATGAAAGGTGAGAAAGCAAGCATCAAGATCTTTCAATGTTGGACCCATCGGAATCCTATATATCGGATACCTATGATACACATAATAAACCAACCATATCAGACATGCATTCATATGTGAATATCAGACTAATCAAACACCAGCATCAGTCTCTTACCAGGCCACTGATAACCAACTAGACGGTAGCAAATCACAACTTCTCCTACTTTTCAATTCCGGGAAGCACCGTGCAAGATCAAGTATCTAACCAACAAACAAAATCCTATCATTTCATCGAGTATTTTCTTTTTTTGCCAAAGGAGAGAGGAAGAGAAGGTGAAACAAACCTTATCAGCCAAAGGTTCCCGACCCCAAGGTTGATTGCGCTCCAGGTACTCAAACGAGAGGCAACTTTGAGGTCTCCCAGATTCACCCTCGTCACTAGAAAACCCTTCTTGGAGTGATGATACATGTTGATAATTTAACGACAACTGATCCAACCGTGAACATATTTCACTCTTTGCATTCTCCCTTTCATAATCACTGCTTACATCACTACTTGAGTCCCTGAAAGACTCGCCATCACTATCCTCGCTCTGTTGCCTAATCACATCAGACCAAAATCAGTTATCCCGTGATGATGAGAACGATAAATAATGTAAAATAATCAATTAACGTCATAGTTCCAAATCCGTTGATCATGACAGAATGCAAATCTAAAACTCCAATCACCACCCCAACCCCCTTCCCAAAAACAAAGAAACCCCACAAGGAGAAAACCCTCCACCTTATGTTATCAACTACAAATTTAAATTGTATGCTCACAAACTTTATCATATGGAAAATATCTGTAAGGCATCAACTCAAACAAGTTATAAGATTCGAATTTTTTGTTGACATGGACAAAGTCAGTAGAAAACCTCTGAATATTGAACCTTGTAAATATAATAGTTCCAAATGGCACAATGCCTGTCATGCAAAATTTTCAGATAACAAACAACACATACCCAGAAAATCCCATTTGGAAGTAGGGTCTGAGAGGGTAAGATACACACAGGTCATACTTCCACCGCTAGTAGGAGAAGAGTGGTTGTTTCCAAGAAAACCAGCTTACAAGAATGGTATTGACACTCGAGAATTTGGAAAGCTTGAGGCCTTAGAAAGAAAAAAGTATATAAAAATGTGCTACAAGATAACATCGTTAGAAAGTTCAAAAAAGAGTATGGACAAAAAAGACACAGAAAAGACGTACCAACCCACACAAAAAACAACACTCAAACCAGCCTAGATAAACCTAAAAGGTACGAAAGAACCCCTACCAACCCACCCAACTATACAACCCAAAATCCCCTACTGACAATCCGGCATCCACAACCCTAATCTGATGTCTCCAAGAACTTCAATGCAGAAAAAAGTAACAAAAAGATTTTCATTTTTACCATGACACGAGCTGTATGATACACATCTTCAGTTCAGTTCTTTAAATTAAGTAGAAAACGTAGTTCTTTCTTGTTCAGAAAAGAAGGAAAAAACTCCATGCGATGTCGATAACTCCTACTTTACGAATCTAAACTTTGAAGTTGTATTAAGCAGAAACAAATAAAAATTTGTAGCATGAATGAGAAGTATGCAATCAATCTAAAATAATTCAATTATAGAGAGGAACGAGGACCAAAGGGAAATTTTAAGTTCATCATACCAAACTCTATGCCAAAAAACTTAAAATGTATTATTATGTTCATCATACTGAACAAGGACTACAAAATTATGACAATAAACCCTTAATGGCTTTAATTATTAGTATTGATCACAAAGCAAAATATCCGTTCTGGTATCAATTTGGTATATGTACACACCAGCATATATACATTGCAAACTGAAAAAAGTTGTGGAGGAATTATGAACTAGTTTCCAAAGTTTAAATATCACACTAAAAGAGATTGGATCTCAAGATTGATTCAATCACAAACATTTGAAATCATGTCTGTTTACATGGTGAAAAAACATTACAAACCCTTAGAAAAACAACAAAAGCAAATAAAGGCTGAAATAACTAACATTACGATTCGCATCAAGAAGCAATCTTGAGCCACGGGTGTAGATCAGACGAATATAAACATAATCCACAAGAGAAAAAGAACAAAATTTGTGGATGAATCATAACAGTTAGATAAGAAAACAAGGACTGATTCCATTTAAACACTTAAGCCACTTAAAAGATCGTTCTTTAGTCTCCTAGATAAGTCTAACATCATGAATGTTATTAGATAGAACAATATAAGATGCAGGAACCACAAAGCGCACAAAATTCTAAAGAAGAAAAAAGATCAAACATAAAAAATACCATCTTAATACCTTGATTTTGCTGAAGCCTTCAAAGGGTCTGTGTACAACTGAATTCCAGACAAATAAGGTACATAATACTGGACAACACTATCACTGTCGTTCAATATCAAAGGAACTCCGGCACCATAAGCACTCCACTCTTTAAAAGACTCCCACAAATCACCAAGCACAAAGTACGGTTGATTTTCATCCCGAGTCCTCCACCCTCTCATAGCTCTCTGTAAAAATCCAACCAAAAACACCATTCAAACTCGTTTGCAATTAAAGCTGCTTGAGTCCTGTTTTTTGCTCTTTAATTTTCAATTATATTTTCACTAATCAAATGCTTATTGTTTACATAATTGAATCTATGGTATTCGGTACATAGGCGCACAAACCTCACCAAAGGTGAGGAGGGTGTTTCCGTTTATTTGTTCTATTTGCCGTATATAAATATTATATACTTAAAAAAAAAATATGAATTCATTATCTTTTCTGTAAACCATACATGAAGTAACAAGCACAAAGCTATTGATTTTGAATTGATGTTTACTTATTTATTTATATAGCACATAAAATTCAAAAGATTTATAGTACTGGTTACATGTTCAATACCATGGATTCCTTACTTTTCAAGTATGCATTACTTGGAAGTCATACCAAAGATTAAAAGCAAACTATAATCAGTGATCAATCTATAAACTGGTGAGTTGACCGCTCATAGTCAACGGAAGGAGTATCAAAATCACATAATAATTTACGTTTAGTGTTAAATAAATATGCAAATCTGAATCAACGAATTGAATTAAATGAACTGGGTTCTGTAAATTAATGGAAATAAGAATAAACCTTAGAGGGATACTGAGCAAGAACAGAAGGCGTAATCGACTCCAAAAACCGTTCCAGATTACACACTGGCGACGGCATCGGTGGTTCCAACGCTATAGGTTTCGATGGCTTTACCACTCGGTTCTCAGGCTCCTCAGTACCGGACGACGCCGTAGATTGGGTCGGAGTGACGTCACTTTGAGCTCTACGGAGATCATCCTGATTTTGACGATTCTTTCTCGCTTTCGCCGGATTGTAAAACCTATCCTCTCCGCCACGACTTCGTCCAAACTGCAATCCAGCGCCCAACATCTTCTGTAAAACCCTAAATTACAACTCCTTCAATCTTACCCAAAAAACGATAAACCAAATCACGAATAAGATGATCTTTTACGAACTTAAAGGTCAAGATTGATTTAGATTCTCTTTTCTAGCCGTAATAGAGAAACCAAAACCGAACCGAAACCCAAATCAAAAACGTTTTGTCTGATGATCTTTCTCCTATAATAATGGTGACCTAACAAGGATTTATCGATTAAGGCTTCGATTGCTCAGAAAAACCCCAACAAATTGGCGAATAACCAGATCAATCGGTACCCTCGAAGAAAATATCGCGTTTTTTAATCGATTTGGTTGTGGTGTATGCGTATGGGTGATTCAGAAGCGATTTGATTATGATCTGGTGGCGGAATGGAGGCTTGAAAGGATGAAACCGATGGGGGATGAAGAGATTTATTAAACCAGTGTCTGTGAAGAAAATGGATGGGTAGGCGAAGATCGAATAACTCTTTAACTAATACCAAACAAACAAAAAATGCAAAGAAGAAATGTTTTTCAATTTTCATGCTAGTAATAAATGCATTTTTCATTTTAAGCCCTTTGTATTTTTTGATTCAACAAAAACGATACTTGTACAATTGTATCCTTACACTTTAAGCCCTTTATGTTTACAAAAATTACAAAACATCATATTATGAAATTTTTAAGGCCCGTCTTTTGAGAATTACTCTATACGATAGAATTGCTTCTTAAAAATCAAGAGAACAAAAGCAAAATAGTTGTTCATTACAAACTTTGTAGTCATTGTAGTTACTGATTAATAATAATGTTTTACTCGTTTGTTATAAATATTATGTTATGGTCGATAAATGAAATATAAATTTTATAAGATATGATAGTTTTGTCATTTTGATAACGAGTCATACATAACTAAAGAGGGTCTTTGTGTAATTGGTCATAAGATAAAGGACTGTTTTGGTTTATAGTTAACAGTGATAGAAAAACCAACATTTTTAAGGTTTGTTTAAGAATATATGTATGTATAGACAGTGGAAATTCAAATAAAAAATTAAATATTATGAGAATAAAATTTAAGAAAATCTTTATATGTGAATCATTAAAAAGATTAAATTTGAAAATGCATATGTAAATCTATACAAATAATCTGTGATGTCGGTTCACATATGCATATTAAAAAAATGGATTTTTAATGGATTCATATATGAATCTCCTCTTCTATATTTGATCTTTTTATTTGAACCATATCGTATTTATGCATACATGTATAGATTAGAAGTGCACCCTGTAATGCAACACCATACATCTCAGTGCTTAAGTGAATATTCAAACCCTTAATTATGATTCATGTTTTATTATATTTTAAGTTCTCTCGATCTATTTTATGACTTTGTGTGGTTTTGAAAGAATAAAAGATTTATCAGTTAGTTATTAATTTTATGGAGTATTATGTTATATTAGTAATCATGTTTAATGCATATCTTCCACTTAAACTTATTTATAAGCTAGTTTATTGTGTTTAAACCCATAGTTTACAAAATACATGTTACATTAATAACTAATAAGTGGTACCTGAGTTTTAAGATAATTTAGTTTCAGACAAACGTTAATGTTTTAAGATTATGAAAAACCAGTTAATAAAAGAAGAAGAAGAAAAATGGAAACCCTGAACTTATTTTATAATATTTGGAAACATTTACTGATTATAGAGTAAATTACGGATTTGATCCAGAGTTGCAGGTTTTTGGTTTCTCTATAAACTAGAGTTAAACAAGAAGAAACCTCAAAAAAAATTATGTTATCATATTCGAAGATACCTTGATCTTATTTGTTTGTGATTTTGGGAATTTGATGAAAGGTTTACAAGGGTTTTAGGTTGCTCTCGGTTAGCGATGGTGGTGAAATCCTTTAGGAAGAAGACGAAGTTGGTTACCTGTTGTAACGCCCCCAGAACCCCGTAGCAATGATATTGTCCGCTTTGACTAACCTGCCCGCTATACCACAAAGCAGTAGTCGCACGGTTTTGTTTCTGGCAGCCGCACAACGCAAGCCCCAAAACCGGTCATGCTAGGATGAGGTATCCACACCCTTATAAGGAGTGCTTAGTTCTCCTCACCAACCGCTGTGGGACGGGATGTTACACCCTCCCCCCGTTAGGACACAACGTCCTCGTTGGGCCACATCGATCCGCACAACGTCCCACATCGGTTGGTGAGGAGAACTAAGCACTCCTTATAAGGGTGTGGATACCTCAGCCTAGTGTGACCGGTTTTGGGGCTTGCGTTGTGCGGCTGCCAGAAACAAAACCGTGCGACTACTGCTTTGTGGTTGAGCGGGCAGGTTAGTCAAAGCGGACAATATCATGCTACGGGGTTCTGGGGGCGTAAACAAAACCGTGCGACTACTGCTTTGTGGTTGAGCGGGCAGGTTAGTCAAAGCGGACAATATCATGCTACGGGGTTCTGGGGGCGTTACACCTGTTGTGAAGCTCGTGAGAAAGAAAAGGGCAGTGGCCGATTGGCTAGGGTTTGGAAAGTGGGGGAAGGATTATTTTTGTTGTTTGGGGCCAGAGATGAGAGGAGAAGAAAATGTGTTCCTGGAACATGTTTGACTGAAGATGGAGGAGGCAAGTGAAGAAGTCGGAGAGGAGAGTTTTCAGTCTGGACAAAGATAGTCATTGCCGAAGATTTTGGAAGGAATCGAGAGTCACCATAAGAGGGGTTATATTACGTATATGTAACGAAGAAAATAATGTATAATGGAGTAATAAATAATGTATAAGAAAAAGTGTAAAATGACCAAAAGAACCATGACTTAACTGAACTAAGGTTAATAAAGTTAGAACGAAATACCCAATTGATAACAAAAGTGAAAAACCATAATGACCATACATATGATTATTTATTTTAAGGAACCCAATCGAAAATTTCAAAAAAACCATAGGGGTGAAATTTGTAATTTACTAAATTCGTAATAAATGAAGTCTAAAAGGAACCATTTTCGACAATCAGCAAACCATAGAGACCAAATATGTAATTTTATACTCTTGATTATTTGATCTCAATTAATTTGCATATATTAACTCGAAAATTATTCAATCATGACATAAAATCAAAATATATCAGTCTAATAAGTAAACATGAATACTTTCTATATCATGTTTAAGATATCTTGACGTTTGAGTATATACGATATATAATAGATTTTTTATAGTTTGTTCAAACTTTATAATTAAAAAAAAAATAAAAAAAAATACATTTAACTCACACAATTTCTTTAGTGTAAAAATTATAATATTAATTATATTATTAAAACATTTAATAAATTAGTTTATCTCTTTTAAATATATAATATTAAATAATTTTATTGATTAAATAAAAAAATATTTTTCTTCCATAATAAAAAAATTATAGAATAATCCTAAAACCAGACAATAATCCTAAAAAAAAAAAAAAAAGAATTTTAGGTTGGTTTACCACTTTCATAAAATTGAAAAGACAAGAGTATCCCCAACTCTATGGTGAGTTGTAATTTGAGCCATTGATGTACTTTGTGATGTTACAAGAAAAGGGTAAAATGGTAAAGGAATGGGAGCTTGACCAAGTAAACCGATGATTGAGCTGTGTGTAATGGAGTTGCACATGGAGTGTGAGGGTCAGCACCCTGTACAACCGACACGTGTACGGCTCACATTCAATAGAAGTCATGGTTTTATTTCAGTTCGGTCCACTGCAGGATCAGATGGGCCTCACGTACACGTATACGTACGCGAAGCCACGACGTTGTTTCTAACGTTGATCCTCTGCATTAAAAACCTTGTACATTATTGCCATTTAGTTTCCATCTTTTTTCAACTTTCCATGACATAATTGTACATAAAGTAAATTAAATCTAAATGGGTCAACTTTTAAAATAACTGGTATAAAAATCATGTGTTCATACTAACATGAATATTTTGATTTATGATTTGAATATTGTTTATATAAAGATAGTTGTTAATAGAATTATCAATAAATAGCATTTAAATAATTCAAAAAAGTTTAGTGAAATTTTAATATATCTATATTATATTTGATTATATTTATCCGCAATTAGTTACACGAATTCAAACATGAAGTTTCAAAAAGTTGTGCTTATTCATAATTTACTTGTAATATTGAATTTTAAGTAATATGCATCAATATACAATACTTCATGTATAAAAAATAATTTTTAAGATTTTTTGTCAAATGCTTTATAATATAGTGTGTATATATATATATATATATATATATATATATATATATAAAGAGAGAGAGATTTGTTTAGAAATAAAATTATAAAACTAAATAAAATAAGTAATAATAACGACGAGAATATTACAAAATCTGATATAATTCAAGAATAAAAAATACTTCACATAAGTATATGTCTTCTTCAAATATTTTAACTTACATTGATGTAAGAAAATCAATTGAAAGAAGCAAAAAAAGAATCATATTTGAAAACTTAAAATAGACGATGAGTCAATCATAAGACATTGCAGAAATCTAACTTTAATTTTTTGTTTTTTTTTGTTTTGGTGTACAAAAAAATATGTAAGGCTGTTTGGATTGACAATAAATTGAGTAATGAACATTTCACAAAAAGATAACTCATAAAAATCTTGACATAATAAAAAAAAACTATCAAGAATATTAGGAAAAAATCAACCTAAAATATATTGTTTTAACACATATAAAACAAGCAAATTAACAAAAACCCAAAATATATTTGTATTATACATAACTAACCTCAGAAAATAGAACGATTACTTAATGAAGAGAGAAGCGTAAATGTCTTGTATGTCAAGAATTATGAACATCGACGGTTGCAATTGATGTTAACAATCATGACTTTCTTTTATATGCAACATGTAGAGATCCAATACATGTTGCACATTAAGAAATTAATGAAGACCTTTAAACTTCTTCAATTAATTTCATCATATAATTGCATTATTAAAAATGTACAAAATCATATATATGACTCACGTAACAGATCATACATGATCGGAGGGACTTTACCCTACGACTTAAATGGTCTCAAAAGTCGTTCGCTTCCATTTAATGTAAAATCACATGTGATTTTGTACATTAACAATATTTTACTTGTTTTCTTAAATAGTTAACGTTCTCGTTTGAACATTTCTCTATGTATTGTATTAATGTAAATAAAAATATATGTATTTTATATATTTGTGGATTATAATTTCATTTAAAAAAGATAAATATGATTGAAATTTGTTTATGAACCACCTACTGGTCTTATTTTAAATATATATATATATATATATATATTGATTGAGAAATTTTGATATATATTGATTGATTTTTGATGATTGATTTTTTCACTTGTCATGTACATAAAAATTTATATGCATTGATGTAAATAAAAATAAACGTATGTGCATTCTAATTTCATTTATAAAGAAAAAAAAAGATAAACATGATTGAAACTTTTCATTGAATCACCTCTTGCTTCTTAATTCAATATATTTTTAATTCTATATTGATATATTGATTTATTGAGAAATTTTAATGTATTTTGTTATATGTTGATTAATTTTGATGATTTATTTTTTCAATTGTCACGTAATTAAAAATATACATTTATT